GAGGGTGTGAAAGGCACACACAGCTCTCTCAACCATGTAGGTAATGTAGATACAGTATAGATAGGTGTCTGTGGGTGGGTGGATGTTGTCCCCATTGCCATTTCCCATTTACTAGCCAATATGATTGGTTCTGCACATTGTTCCAAGTGGTGTCTTATATTCCAACTATATTGTATACTGTGTGGTGGATAGCTCCTTAGGGAATATTCTACCATGACAACTGCAAAGTTTTCAGAATGCCACATTCCAAGTTCATTAAGGAAAGAATGAGATGGGGCAGTAGCATCACTGTTGCACTACTGCCATCACCCCAAAGTTTAGAATGTAGCCCAAATTGTGCATCAGTGAGTTTGAGATTCTTTCTATAGTCTTTCTTCACTGATTGTTAAACCCAGGAAAAGCACTGATGGTTTGGATCACTTGAGATGAAAATTCCTCCAAGTTCCATAATTTCCCCCTGTCATTTCCCACAACTTTCATCTTGACAGGATATCTTCACAGATAGAAGGCCTAGAAACATAATTTATGAAACAAAACAAAACAATAATTTTCTAACTCTCTTAATTTCAAGAGGAGAAATCCCCAGTGAACTGGGTGATGTTACTGTGTGCTTTCAAGTCCCCCCCCCCAAAAAAAAAATTATGTTGACCCTAAGGTGAATCTACCACTGATTTGTGATAGATGGCCTGAATTATTCAGAGGGCGGTTGCCCTTATCTCCTTCTGAGGCTGAGACTTGTCTAAGGTCTGCCAGTGAGTTTCCATGGCTGAATAGGGATTTGAAGCCTGGTCTCCAGAGTCTGAGTTCAACAGTCAAACTGCTAAACCACACTGGCTTTCAATGAACTAAATACTCAAAAGTCATAAAAGTCATAAGCATGCTTTCAAGTCTTTAAAATGTTTCCTGTACTTTATCTCAGTCAGCTTAACTTTAAATGTTGCTAGACTAGGGGGGGTTGCAGACTGCCAGAAATAGTGCAAATTGAGTCCACTTTTAGGGTTAGGGTTAGGATTAGGGAATCATGGGAACTGTATTTTATTGTGGCACCAAAGCTCCCTGACAGAGAAGGCTCAATGTCTCAGAAAAAAAAAAAAAACAATTCCCATGATTCCCTAGCACTAACCCTAACCCTAAAAGTGGACTCAATTTGCACTATTTCTGGCAGTCTGCAACCCCCCAAGGTGATTTTTAAATCAACATTTCTGCCCCCTGCAATGCTTATGGGCCTACCACTAGGGGAATCTACCTCAGATGGCAGAAAATGGTGTGCAGTGTAGCCTCAGGAATAATTGTGGATGTTGACCCATTGGCAATGTGAACAATATTAAATTATTATATTGATGGAAGTTCGACTCCCTCCGCTTTAAAAAAACAAACAAACAGAGTAGAAGGAGTCTACCCTTTCCTCCCACAAAACCTCTTGCAGCTTACATAATTGTGTGCAATTTGTCTGGCTTTATTCCCTCAAAAATGGCAATGATAACTTACAATTTTCATCTGCTTCTTCCATGAATACAAACTCTGGCATGCAAACCCAAACTTTACAGCTGACCAACACAAAAAACAAAACAAAACAAATGGTTGGTTTGTCTGACATGTGACAATCTTCATCCAGTTAGAAGGTGATACTCTGCCTGCAATTTAAGTCATCCCTGTATTTTCTTTAAAGTTACAACAATTTGTTTATTTCGCCCATCTTGAGGAAGGTGTAAGAAGCCTTGGATTTCCAAGGAGAAGCAGGCTATGTCCAAACATGTCTGAGGTGAAGACACCTGCTTTTCGAAATGTCCATTTGGGATCCTCACCAAATCTGTTTTTATTGCAAACTCTAAGCAGTTTCCAGTTTCAAATACCAGACACAACCTGTGAGACAGCAGCAGCTACACTTAACCCATGCCAAATCTGAGCGCTGAAGCCTTCCCCAGTGTATTGAGATAAACACGCTGTGTGCCACGTCTGCCTTGGAGAACCTCACTAATCCTTTCAGAAAAGCCCCCCAGGGAATCCAAAGCTGCTTTTCATTAGCCTGACAAGCCCAACAAGCTCCCTAGCAGCTCAGACACACTGTAGAAAGCCGGTGCCTGCCTTCACATGGAGAGTGGGAATATGTGCAGAGGAATGGGAGTGATATTAAATCTTTCACTTCTCATTGCATGTGTTGGAATCACTGAGATGAGCTTTGGGGAAGATACAGAGTGGAGAGAGGCAGCAGGGACCATTGTTCAGGTGGCTGCAATTATTCAGTTTCTCATTGTGTCAGAGGGGACAAGGAGGATCCAGAATTTGGGATTCTTGATGGGGTTTGTCATCACATGGAGCCAATATCTTAGCAGAGGCAGAAGCTGCTGAAGTGGGGAGGAGAGTCAAATGCCAGAGTCCCATCTCAATTCAAGAGATCCTACTCATCAGTTTTGGTTTTGATCCCTTTCTAGATGAACTCTTTAATGCATTGTTCTTTTGTGACTTCTCTTGTCTCCTCCTGCATCAGACAGATAAGACTCCATGACTTTGGAGGTTCTGTGCCAATTGTGCTTGCCTTTTGAAAATACAGAGAGCTCTTCTTCTTATGAAGTTGTCCTGTGGTGAAAATGCAGAACTGGCCTGATTCAGTGAGGTAAAGGGAGAAAAAGAGGAGAGGGAGAAAGAGAAAAACGCAGAGACACATACCCTGTAAGATTTCCATTCCAGAAAGAAAGTGTATTGTATCTCTATAGAACTTGCAACCCACTAACTGTGCTAAAGAATGATTCTTTCTGGAATTAGGATCTTTAACAAATGTAGCCCAGTATATTAACACACAGTGGGACAGGTTTTAGGATATTGGAGGATTAAGCTCTCAAATGGCAACACTTCTCATGTTGCTTTGTCTTCACATCTGAGATGAGATTGGCACTTGGCTCTTTTGGTGTCACAAACATTTCATGGTGTATTCACAATGGTCAAGTGTTCAACAACCAGCTTGATTTGGGCCCTCCAGGAAGAAGTGAGTTGAGAAAGTCCATTGAACCTCTGCCTCAGAATGCACTTGAGTTTTTGATGGGTTACAAGTCATGTGGGTTTGCAGAAGTAATTAGATCTAAAGGTCAGAGGGAATGGCTGCTTTCTCTTTAAAGGTTGTTCCTGCTGTAAAGTCCTAAAGTTCACAGGAGGATAAAAAGGTCAGCCCATGAAAGTGAACATAAGAGAAGGAACCTTGTTAGTAAAGAAGCTCTCCCTCTCTCCCCCCCATAAATTGCTGCCACTCAGGCTAAGAAATAGATTGGCAATCAATGCAGTCCCACCAACTTCTCTTTGAAAACACCTTCATGACATGAGAATGGCATAACATGAGAATGTCATGGAGATCTTGTAGCACCTATGAGAGTAACTGAAAGAAAGAAGCTGGTAGCATGAGCTTTTCTAGACTTGAGCGTACTTCCTCAGATCCATGTTTGAGAAAGTAGGCTCTAGTCTACGAAAGCTCATGCTACCAGCTTTTTTCGTTCAGTTAGTCTCAAAAGTGCTACAAGATCCCTTTCCATACTCATTTTTGATACTAACATGGCAATGTCTTTGAATTCTTTGACTGGGACAGAGCTCTAGAATCTCTGAGGCAGCAGGGATTCTTGCATAGAATTGGAAGGGACCACAAGACTCATTTAGCCCAGCCCACATCATGGAGTCATGAAGAAAAAAGATAGCCAGAGAGAGTGCCATGCGATGTCTGCTTAAAGACCTCCAGAGAAGAAAAGCCCATCACTCATGACAGCCATGGGATCTTCTCTTCTCCAAGCTAAACATGTGTTTCTTCCTAATACTTGGTTTCCAGACCTTTAATCTTCTTGGTTGCCCTTCTCTGCACACATTCCAGTTTGTCAATATCCTTCTTGGAATATGGTGTACAGAACTGGACACGATGTCCAAGGTGAGATCTGATAAAAAATAATAATAGAGTGATAGTACTGCTTTCCTTGTTTAGGACACTGTGCTCTTCTTGATGTCATGTAGAATTTCACTGATCTTTTCAACCACTGCATGACATGTTTAGCTTGTACTTTACTAAGATCCTTATATCCTTTCACATGTATATGCTTGTTTTATCTTGCCTGTTCCCTCTTCCTATTTACCCTCAGGGTGCTGTGATGCAACATGCATCTTTTGGAAACCTCAGTTGCCAATCAGCCTCATATGGCAGAATCAAGTTATTTGGGGCTTTCTAGGTCAAAACCAGCACCTTCATTGATCTCAGAAACAAAAAAGCAGAAATATACACATGTGTGTTACATTTACATTGTACATTTTCTGATGTTCATTTAAAATATCTTTGCAGATGTATATAGGACAAAAAGCATTCCATGTGATATTAGATGCTGATTGATATGTGATGCTGTGGTAGCTTGACCCTGCTTCTACCAATCTGGCTTAATAGATGCAGAGGTGAGCCTGAAGTGATGAGAAAATAGGGCTTGAAGAGCTTGTTTGAAAGAGAGGGAGCTAGGGGTTAATGTCCTCCTGTTCCTCCCCACCCCCCAAAAAAATTGCTCTATCAGGATAGAAAATGTGAAAGCAGCAGGGAGTTGGTTGCATGTTCATTACAGCTCATACCAGCAGTAATACCTATGCAAGGCTAATAACACATAAAAAGTAATGGGTTCCAAACGTGGCATGCATTCCTGACATCCTTTCTTTTGCATGCTCATGAACCAAACATATTTATCTGCAGTGATATTTACAGTGTCATAGATACTTAAATATTCTCATGCAGTCTTGACACCTTCCATTGACAAAATCAGACATTTGAGAAACAGGCGGCACAGAGTCAATGGCCTTCACTTCTTGATTCTTTTATTTCCATTATTGTAGTAGTTGTGTGCCTTCAAGTCATTTCTGACTTATGGCAGCCCTAGGGAGAACCTATCATGGAGTTTTCTTGACAAGATTTATTCAGAGGAGGTTTGCCATTGCCATCCTCTGAAGCTGAGAGAGTGTGACTTATCCAAGATCGGGCCAAGTGGATTTCATAGCCAAGCTGGGAATTGAATCCTGGTCTCCAGAGCTATAGCCCAACACTCAAACCACTATGCCACACTGGCTTTCAAGTGGCAATAGCATTGCAGTCTGTAACATTTTTCATGTCTTTGTTCATACATCCATTACATCTCATTTTTGTATTAATATGTTTTCTTACAAATTATCCATTTTCCAATGAATTTGCTCTCAAAATGTGCATTTACTGAAAAACATGCATTTAAAAATGCTTTTTTAATGCTAAAAATGATGTTGCAACATGCAGTGAATTACAAAAATTGAATGGATGGTTATGGTCAGATTTTCATATTAGTCCAAGAGGTGTGGACTGAGTCAATACAAGAACTGGTTGATATTTCAGATCACTGGGAGTGTGTGTCCATCGAGGCATTTGTGTGTCCATCGAGGCACTAAATGTAGTTCACCATGTAGTTCATGTATGAAATGCAACTGTAATTTGATATTGTCCAAGCTAGTATGTGCTTACACATATATAAGTGAAGTTCAAATTAGTTTCTGTCATTTGTCCTCCTATTCAAGTCCCAACACCTTAGAATGGGAGTAGAGGTGGTTTCACACTACAGTTTCACAATACAGCCCTATGATTTCATTTCAATGTCTATGACAACATCCTATGGAATCCTGGGATTTGTAGGAAGGGGCATTTAGAAATCATAGCCAGAGAACTCTTATGCATCTGCAAAATATAATCCCCAGGATTTCATAGGATACAGCCATGGGAGTTGACATGGAATCATAGTGCTATATCTATTTAATGTAGAGAGACCCAGGGATAGGTAGCATGTAGCCTTCCAGATGTTCTTGTGTTGCAGTTCCATCATCCCTACTCTTGGCCATTCTGGCCGGTGCAGATGGGATTTTCAGTACAACAGCAACATCTGGAGCACCCCCTGTTTTAAAACAGGTTTTTCAGTGGTTATTAAACTCAGTAGTAGGGAAAAGTTAAGAGTCTTTAAAAGAATCAGACATGATTCAAAGGTGGAAAATCTGATGTTGAGTTTTGGGAATAGAATAAACAGATGGGGGCCTGGCATGGTGCATTGCAAGCAGATGTGAGTACATTAGTTTTGTACAGTTCTCATCTGTTGGAACAATATCATCCATGCCTCCACTAAGTAACCTGCGGGTGGTCAGAGAGGCAAAGTTGTTAAACTACATTTCCACAATGCCTGCCTTGCTGGTGCATCATCTTCCTAACACAGCATCATTTCAGATGGCTCCAGGAGAGAAGAAATGAAGATGCAAGCTTTTCTCATTCCTTTTCTGTGATTTCTCCTCCGAATTGTTCTCCCCACACACAATGAACGACTAATTTCTTTCATTTTCCTCCTGTTGGTAAGAGAACATTTTAGTTCTCCTATTGTGAACCCTATTACCGGGGGCTTTATTCCTGAATCTGCCATTGGCTGATTTCTGTGGGGGTTCAACAAGGGCTCCCACCGACGTTGTGGAATGAAGTCAGCAGAGCTGTATTAATTCAGATGACTTTTCTCTCCATTCCATGGCTGCTATTATGGCAGTATTGGTTTGGTAATGAAAGAGCTTTTAGGGTGGGAGAAATCAGATTATCTTCTACAAACACAAGTGTGTCTGGACTGTGATTATCCTAATGTAATTGATGGAATGAACTCTGATTATAGGTGTCTTTTTTCTATGTGTGTGTCGTTTCTTAAAATGCTTATATGCTAATCCATTGATTGAAAGATTGACACATGCCTTTGTGGTGTGTAGATTACTGTTCATTAGCATCCTAGAATTTAGACAGCTCAGACTGGCCTGGCCTTTTTCTCTTGTAAGATGATTTGGGAAGAGCTCAAGCATCAGAAAGTGATGTGTCTGCAGATTTTCTGCATTTTCCCATTTAAATAAAGTCTGGAGAGAAACAATAAAGAGCTAAATACAGTAGGTCCACCACATTCACAGCTTCAACTTTTTCAGATTTGATTATTCAGTGGATTTGATTAACATGTTCTATCTAGGAATCTCTAGGTCCTCCAGAATAACTCTATGGCCAGCTTTCACTAGGCATTATGCTGGAGGACCTAGAGATTCCTAGAAAGAACACTTCTCTAAGCATTTCTAGGTCCTCTAATACATTTCTATGGTAAATTCTGTTGGATGTTGACCACAGGCTTTTGCTGAAGGACCTAGAGATTTCCAGAAGAGTATCTCTCAGGTAAAAAATAATGATAATGTTTTGTTTTTTTAAATTTATTTGTGGCATTTCCATTTTCTCATGGGCCCTGAATACCTACTCCCAACAACTCTGCAAATGCAATATTTTAGTTTCCCCTATAGAGGGGAATGCCAATTATACCTTTGTATGGAAGAAAGAAAATAAGGCATGTTGAGGAACACTTCTAGGGTGGAAGAGTAACCTAATCCAAAATTTTGAAGTGGTGATTCCACCTATTGTGAATTGAGCTTACTCCAATCTTTTCTTGGCCAGACTAGAGTGTGATGGTAATGGGATCTTCTTATTAATATGGGGTGGGGGACACATAAGTATGTGTGCATAAGTGGGGAAGGGGAGGAAAGGGAGAGAGAAAGAGAAAGAGAAAGAAAAAGAGAAAGGGAAAGAGAAAGAGAGAAGGTAGCATAAGAAAGAATTTTCATATGCAGTATAAGGTGCTTACGGACTAATCTGTTTTGATGCTCCACTGCCATCTTCTTGTTGAATGAGTTTGCTGTTTGTGCATTGCATTCAGTTGATGGTTACTTCAAGAACTATCTTCTTGGTGACTTACTTCCTTTTATATTATTTTCCTTTGTTGGAGGAAGTCAATTTCCCCCCTTACTTGGTGAAATTTTGGGTAATTTCATCACATTTTCATTTTATTTTTTTTTACATTTTAAGAATATTTATGGAAATTTCACAAAATTTTTTGAAATGAAGAAATTGTTTTCTTCAACATACAGTTTTCTGCAAAAAAATGTCCTTTTTGCATAATATAATGTTTTGCATGCACACACACACACACACGCCAAAAATTTATGGCCTTTTCATTCTCATACAGAGAGTGGGGGCAAAAATAAATCTCATTCCAGTTAACAATTTATTTTATTTTCAGAGAAACAAGAAGCTTTGAGAGTATGCTTTACTTCTCTAGCTCACAGTAGTTTTCGCCCACATCAACTGAGACTAACATCAAAGCATATTTGTGTGAAACACTATCCTTCTGCAATTGCAATTATTTCAACTATGCCATCATATGCCCCTGGAAAGATTGAGATAGTATTGATATTGCTGAAATTGTAGTCTCCATACAGGGAAATATGTCAGACATATACCTTGTCCTGTGGACCTACACTGACATCACTTTCATGTGCCCAATATACACATACAAATTGTTGCCTAATGATAATAACAAAGGAGATAAAGCACAATGAATGAAAGCTATTGTTTGTGCAAACATGCTCACAAGCACTACAGCTTCAATGGCCAAATGAGGCTACTCATGCTTTTTAAATTTTGGCCTGGGAAACTAAAGGAGCATATGGCAGTCAATTGTAGTCTACTTTTGTAAATATGAGCTATTGGTTGCCAACTACTGAACTACCTAAGTGTTCCATCCTGAGATCATAGCAGCAGGTAACAATATTGTAATGACACCAGTGATTTCATCAGGAATTTTGAATATGAACAGTGAAATCAATGCAAAAAGACTTCAACCTCACAATGGTTTATCTTGCCCCCCCTAGTCTAAAAATGCACTTCTAAAAATGCTCAGTTGGGACCTTTATTATGTCTCCAAAGGAAGGGAGCATACAAGTGAAATAAGGGGAAATGAAAATGAAATAGATGAAGATTTACAATACTACCCAGAATCTATGGATGTGATGAAAGGTCATTGCTATTTATTAAAGATGAGGTTTTGGTTTTCTCAATGCTTGGCTCAAATATTTATGAAATTTGGCACTTGCTCAACAAAGGTGGGAGAATTTGCATATACTTCATTAGCAAAAGAAGTAAAATGACAGGTACTTCAGTGAGAAATTTGATGTTTGGGATGCTTTTTGCTTAAGCAGTAAATGTAACAATGCCTCAGCTATTCATTTTCTTGTGTAGTCTCAGTCAAGGAAATTTGAATTACTCCACTGGGCTGCAGAAAGGGAAAGAGAGAGGGAACAATTCCATTCTAAAGATAGAGACCATCTTTCTGTGTCTGGAAGTGAAAGACAGTTGAATGTTTTGTGGCCCTCTCCAGTCACCACCAAAAGATCCAGTATAGCTTCAAATAATAAAAGTATATGTATGCATGCATGTTTCATGTGCACCTGGCATTGTACATAAGAAGCAGATGAAGATTTACAGCACTATTATGATCCCAGCATGTAGTTTCACCTGTACTGCAACACATATGTGACAATGGAAAGGGACTAGTGTATCACAAGTCAAATAGGAAGACATTCCAATATATCCATCACATCTGCAAACACTGTTATAAATCCACACATGAAGTACCTAAATATCTTAAAGGCACCAGATCTCATTTGATCTTGCAAACTATACAAGGTTAGTCCTGGTTAGTACTTGGATGAACACCAGCTGCTGTAGGCCATATTTCAGAAGAAAGAATTGGCAAAATCAAGAATATCCTATGAAATTTATAAGGGTCTGAAAGTATATCCCCCACACATGGACTAATCTAACCCCCTCCCACACATACACACAGATACCACCAATATCAGGCAACAAAATTTGCATAGTCAAAATTAGAAGGCAGAATCCTGGTCTCTAAGATGCAAACAAAAGTGATTCATAATACCAAGAACATCTTGCATTTTTGAATGAATTTTACATTTTTTAGTAGTATCTGTTACATTGACAGCCCATTTTTCCTCCAATGGGGGAAAAAATGCTTGGCTCTCCTCCTCATTTTTCCTTCATAATACATCTTTGTGGTAGGTTACATTAAACATGTGTGAATAGCCCAAATCATCCATTGAATTTTGCCTCAGTGGTGATCTGAATTGGGTTCTCCTGAGTCCTAAACAAACAGCCTTAAATACACCACGGTAGTTTTCAAGAGAGTTTTGACATA